TGGAGGTAAACGGAGCACAGTTTTATTTTGACTTGCTGCCATTTCGTCAATGGCGTATTTTTGATATTCCGCCTTGTGATCCTTGACAATTCTTAATAATTGTACTTTCAGCATTGCTTCTTCAAAGTTGATATTTTTCGAGCGGAGCCAATTTTGAACATCAACTTTCCTTGAAGCCGTTGTTGGGACCTTCTCCATTCTTCGAGAATGATAAGGCGCATTATCCAACACAATTACTGCGTTTTCCTCTAAGTTCGGTAAAATTTTTGAAAACCACTGTTCAAACGATTCGCCATTCATTTCCTCGTGGTAATCTCCAGTTTTCTTAGACTCAAAGCACCACAGACCGTCAACAACAAATCCATCCTCTCTGCCAATATGGCAGATAATGAGCCTTTTCCCTTTACCTGGAAATCGAAGTACTAACTGGTGTAGATTTATTTTAATAAGCGAACCTTTTTCAAATGTTTTCATCACATTCAGCGAAAAAACATTGAGACATGAGTATCAGATTGCTATAATTGGGATTATTTAGTCATATTGAAAGAAAGACTATTGAACGTCGTATGATTACTCAGCGCTTCACAATTTAATTTAAACTTATAAACCTTTTAAAAAATGAATGATCAGGAACCTGAAATACGCGCAAATATTAATATTAACAAATTATAACTTTATAAAGCTTAAAGTATGAATTAAAATGATTAGAAATATTAGGAACGGTACACAATATAAAACTTAGTAACTTTTTTTAAGCTTATAATATTCGACATATTTTAAGATTATATTAAAAAATTATTGAAATATCTAAAACACATAAAGACATGGCTTAAAAAAGTTCTAACAAATGAAAATGACAATAAAACATCCACGCATTTTATCGAAAGTTATAAAAGTTTTGTTACTTGTAATATGTTTTATCTGCCCCCTGAAATTAATGTTTAGAACCTTGTTCCCAAGGTTTGAAAAACATCCGATTGTTGTCTATTACTCGTATTTACCTGCTGGATTTTTTAATCCGGTGGACAGTCCATCTAGAAAGGCCCTCCTGGATGAAGTTACAGAATCATCAACCGATACTTTACTTGTAGTGTGTCCTGCGTTTACCCACGTTTCATCAAGGTAATAAATCTTCCTGTTTTGATTTCTATATTTCCCAATTTTTGTTAAATAATCCCTCCTCCATAGCACAATTTCTTCTCTATCCAGTAGTAAACTATTACGACCCCGTTTTTTCCATTTGAAATTTAAATGCTTCAGTAACGCATGGAAAGTTGATCGTTTGAAATTTGGCAACGTTGTATCTCCATTTACCTCCTGCAGTACTTTATCTATAGTAGGTATTTCATTCCTAAAGAAGAATTCATGCACTTTCCTCCTAATCGCATGCTTATCAGCTTCATCCAATGATTTAACAATACTTTTGCGATGTTTACTGGTCAGTGGCTCAGAAAAGGTGTGATTTTTTTTGTATTGTCTTAACACATTAAACACTGATGCGCGACACACCCCAACTTTGTGAGAAACCTTCACAACAATTTCTTTGATGGTTGATGCCTCGTTCTCCTCGCGCTCGATCTTATATATATTCAAAATGACCTCTTTCATTTCTGCACTCAGGTGTATTTTTTGGGAGCGTTTCCTAGGTGGACTACAGGAGTTTACAACTTCATCGGCAGTATCTGTACTACTGGGCATTTTGCGCAAGCAGTTGATAACAATAACAATCAATAACAAGGTATAACAATAACAACGACAAACTCAACAACTTAATAAGATAACAAACGAAAACGTCCAAAGAAATATCAAATTGCAATGATGCACACGACATACGTAACACGTCTGAACCTGAATGTGACTCTGCCTTGATACGACTGCTCTGCCGCTCGGCATAGGCATTTAATTGCGAATTGACCAATGAGGGCTCCTGTTTTACGTCGAGACGGCGGCGTTAGCGTGAAAATCACCCGAACCTTTTGTTTACATCCGGTCTATCTCTTATCTGAATATACTGTAGATGGTTTAATTGATTCGGCCATGTAGAGGGATCAGCAATACCAATATCGGCGATGGGCAGCTTCTGTATCTTCACTTACTCGGTTCAGAATGTGGATGGAATCAGCATTTCAGAAGTAGATAGTTGCTGATCGTCAATAAATAACAACTGGATCTGCGGTTGGATCCGGCGATGAACAATTTGGTCAGTGATCCACTAAGTTTTTCCCACTGCGTCTCCATTTTCAGTGGGCGTTTTTTATATTGAGCTCCAGATAATTTTTTCCTACTGCCTTCGCTCATTTCAGATATTACCGAAGAGAAAAAATATCAATGAGCTAACAGACCCCATCGGAAAGCAATTCTAAATTTCTCAATTTCGAATTATTGTTAAGGCCCCCTTTTTTTTTTGGCTATAGGACCAGGCCATGCAGCCAGAAACTAGGTTAGTATTTTTTATATACCTAATTGCAGCGCGTTCCGATTGCATCAAGCACACGTCGACGGCGCCTGAAAAAAAAAACGTAGTGTGCAAGCGACCTTAGATTGAGTGACATGTGCTAGTTTACTCTTTTACTTACTTGTTTGCAGAAGTATATTAGTCACCTTACAATAAAATTGAGAATAAACACACAAACACTGTAGGCAACATAGCATTCCACTACTCACATTTATGACAGGGTACTGAGGGCTATTTTCAAATGATATCTATCTCAGGGTACGGAACGGAAAGTCTTAAATAAAATATTTTTGGAACGTGAACCAAAGAACTAAGTATTTGGCGCCCCTAAAAATTTGGCGCCTGCGTGCGGGGCATTCACTGCATACCCGGTAGAACCGGCCCTGACACTGTTAGGTTTTCTCTTCAAGAAGTTTTGGGAGCAGGTTTCACAAAAGGCTTCTAGCCGATGATCACCCACCCTGAAAAAAGGTTCTGCCGACGCCATGAAACCAGCCGAATCTTAAGTGTAGGTACCCGTAGGCCGCAAGAAAATTCAACAACCTTAATAGGACTGCTTTCTCCTGTCAGAGGCAACAAAATACAATCCATAGTTTCCTTTCATCATTTGAAACGCTTCTTCTACTTGAATATTGATTTATATAAAAATAATAATCCGGCTTTATTTATACAAAGTATAAAAAGGCGAAATGTCGCTAAAAAGCGTTTTTCAACTTAACCCATATTCATAGTAATATTTTTTCTTATTTATCTAAAATGTATTTCGGTTAACCCAGCATACCTGACTGCAACATTGGAAAAAGTAGCAAATCTACTGAAATATCTCTAACTGCTGCACAATTGCGCTGCTGCAGTGTTCATCGGTCGTTGCGCGACTGCCGGCGAGATTCTCACATCGCACAAAATCGAATAGTTTGTTCGCCGTTTCAACTCGGCAGCTCGCTTGATCTTTCGGCATAATTTGGTCTGCTACGGTCTGACTCGTGTTCGATCACGGGAAGCACAAAGTTTTTTTTACTTTTATGGGTCTTTAGATATATTCAATGCCAAACAAAATTGAGAATTTATTAAATCGGTTATACCTTTCGAGAACGGTATGGCATATCCGATTTCTATTCATCTGTTTTAAATGATTTTCAGCAGGAAGCCGCAATATTGAAATAAAAATTCTATGTAGATCAATCGATATGATAAAATTTGTCCGCTCTGAATTTCCTTGAACAGAGCTGACAGAATATAGTGTATGGTTGAAAATATGGTTCGATCGTATGCTCTCTTTTATATCTATTTCAAATTCTTTTAGAATGTTGCAAGCCATATAGGGTGAATCAGATGTCGATTATGATGGGTGGCCCATAAGTCCTTTGAGCTGGAAAAAAAGGAATAAAACCAAACTAGTTACATTATGAAGAATTATTATATTTTGTTATCATCTTTATTGAATGGGAATTATGTTTTAAAAATCACATCCTCTAAATGCAATCCATTACGATCACGGCACTCATATAAACGACGTCAAAATTGTCGATGACTGCGCGGCAAGTCAACACTGTAATGCTTGCCATTTGTCTTCGGATATTTTCTTTCAGGGCATCAACTGATCGCGGAGTGGTGTCGTACACTTTACTCTTGAGGTAGCCCCATAAAAAGAAGTCCATTGGGGTCAAATCTGGACTACGTGGTGGCCAGGAAATTACTTTGCTGGGAAAAAGTTGACAGACGACGGGCATAGAAGTGTTGGAGGTGTGGGCAGTTGCACCGTCCTGTTGAAACCAGGTCTGCATATTATAGCCTGGAAAATTCTGCAACGCTGGTGTCAAAAACTCTTCTATCATTGCTACATACCGCTCCGAAGTAACAGTTAATGCGCGACCTCTGTCGTCCTCAAAAAAATAAGGGCCTACGATGCCATGCGCTGACATAGCAGCCCAAACTGTAACTTTAGGGCTGTGTAAGGGCTTCTGATGCCTACGCCTTGGATTTTCGGGGCTCCAATAATGGCAATTTTGTTTATTTACATGCCCGTTTAAATGGAAGTGAGCCTCGTCCGAGAACAACACATTATTGAGCGAAGAAAATCGATTCAACATTTCATTCGCAAAGTTTAGTCTCTGAATAGCGTCATTATCTTTTAATTCCTGCACTAACTGAATTTTGTAAGCGTGCAGACGTAAATCTTTCCTTAAAATCCGCTGTAAAGATGTTCTGGGTACGTTTAGTGCACTGCAACGCTTACGAGTAGACTGGGTAGGATTTTGACGAACAGACTGTGCACTGTGCCACAATGTTGATGTTTTCTTCAATACGAGTTGTCCTTGGTCGACCCCACCGCTGTTTATCTAACGTCGAACCAGTCTCTTCGAACTTAGCAACCCAGTTCTTAATCGTTTGAGCTGTTGGACACTTTGTAAAATTGTGTAAATTGTGGTATTCTCGATATTTACGCCGCGCAATGGTTGCCGAATCATTATTTTGATGAAACGCGCGCACACAAAAAGCACGATCCGCTCCAGTGAAACACTCCATGGCGACTGAATTCCCAGACACTGAAGATACTGCCCCCGCGCCGCTCACGCTCACCCGTTAAATATTATTCAAATTTGAAATTTCAAAGGACTTATGGACCACCCTATTATTAAAAAATAGTTGCGATTCTTAAAATTCCGTCTGACGATGTAACGTTATTAGTTTTGGCAATCGTGGTGTTCGCGACGACACACCTACCCGTAATCCCAGAAACAGCTTTCGATGCATGATACTATTTCTCTAGCCTGTAATATAAGCCCACGCGCAGTCTCTTTCGCACGTGTAACGTAACTCGGAGACAAAATCCCCCAGAGACAAGTAACAAACGTCCAACTTTAGCACATAATTTCTGCCTAGTTTCGTTAGTTTGTTATCTGGTGAGTTTGTAATAAGCCTCTGAATAAGTCTATAATTGAAAAACGGCGCCAAGTAGGTTGACTCTGTACCTCCCAAGCACCGCTATCATCAGTTTTTAAAGGAATATGTTCGACCCAAGTAAGTCCCTTTACGGTAGAATAAAGTATTCATTTATCAGTTTCTTTATCCCGAATTTCAGCTTGCTGATTTGACCCGTTAAAAAAATGAGTAGGGGGGCGGCTTTTTGTAAAGCAGCGATACAAAGACTATTAGAGTATTAACAAGTTTAAAATGCTAATATGAGTCTCAAAACCCATACACAAATTCTGTCAAACAGCGATATTAAATTGCAAAGTAAGAAGAAAGATAAAGACGATAGTGTGACTAGGTACGTAGCTTAAATTAATGTTTTGGATTGTTTGTCGCCAAAATTGCGAAGGTTTACAGCATACCTTTAACTCATTTATCTACAAATGCTTACCAAAGTAACAGCATTGGATCAACATAATAATGGTAATACTTATCGGTATCATTAGGATTGTACCACTCTTTGAGAATTTTGTACCATGTCTTGAAGTCGTCTAACACCACAATTATCTGCAAACACTCGCACTTTTAAAAAACAACACTAAACTTCCAAATTTGATGACAGAACTGTCAACATATTGACTTGTGTCAAGTGCACTTTGATCCTCGTTACAGACTATGAGCATGAGACGAATAAGTCCTACAAAGTAATACTTCACCTAAAAATTGACAAATTTGCCCAGAACTTTTTCAATATTTCGTACCGTTTTTTTTTTTTTGGGGGGGATCCTGGTTGTAGTACGAGATCTATATCGCTTTTGATCAAGCTAGTCTTTAGGTAAGGGTGAAAGCATTTGGGATCGCTTCACCCACAGCCATCCAGAACTAGTAAGAGATCATAGTAACGGAGATGTCGCCTGCGATACATATCACGAATGGAGAGAAGACATCGAGATCTTGAAGGATTTGGGCGTAGACTTCCATCGATTTTCACTGTCATGGCCTAGAATTCTGCCGGACGGCTTCGCTAGAAGAATCAATCCTGATGGTGTGAGATTCTATAACGATTTCATCAATAAGCTGTTGAAGAATAATATAGAACCTTTGGTGAGTGACCGGTAAGGGTATTACGTATTTTGAAATGTGATAATGTGTCGGTTTATAATAGATGTTTTCCGTTAAAGCTTTATCTGATCTTTACATGACCTTCATGATCATAGTCAAGGTTATGAACATACTTGTCCATAAAGTTTTGATTTCCGGTGTTAAAAAGGGTGTTCCCATTAAAGAAAACTGTCTGGACCTTCAAGTGACCTTGAGAGTAATAGTCAAGGTCGCTTTCACGGTTACCACTAGATGACTCTTTTCAAACCTCATCATTTTCTCTAGAAAACGTATGTTTCGAGATATCTTCATCTATCCATACCTTTTGGTATATGAGATTCTTTATTAGGCTACCTTCTACCATTGGGTCTTCGCCAACGCTAACAAAACCTGGGTAGCTGGACCAATCCAAATTGATGATTCAAAATAGATATTTCCTGTAAAAAATTTATTTGAACTCTACATGACTATCAAGGTCATGAACATACTTAAACGTAAAGTTTTAATTGCCGATATCAAAAACAGGTTCTTTTTAAAGAAAACGGTCTTGTTCTTTAAATGACGTTCAAGGCAGTAATCAAGTCCTTGCTCAAGGTTACCATTTATTGACTCGTACAACTGCTACATTTTTCTTTCTCGAAACGTGTTTTTCGGGATATTCTATTCTTTCTTTAGATTTTGTACACCCTCAAATACTCATGAAGGTCACGATCAAGGTCATGGACAAAGACATACTTGAACGCAACATTTCCCGCTTTTTATGGTTTATCTGAAGTCACTTGAAATAGCATAAAAATCTTTGGTCGGCGCGTCCTTTGTAATTTCATGACGTCTCATAGGCGTGCGGTTATTTATTTAGAACGATAATAATAATGTTTTTATATCACAATAAATGGATTTTACTATCTTCTTATTTTTTTGATTTGGGATAAAAAATACTTATATTGGGAGTTTAATTTATGTTGACTGAAAGTTAAGAAATGGAAAAATTACAGAATTCCAACGTTTGACATAGGCAAATATTTACATAGCAGGTAGGTATATAAAAAGGTATATAAAGACTTACATTATAGGTATTTATATATCATCCTCGCCTTCGGAGCTGTCGCTAGAGTCATCTTGTAGAGGAATTACAACGGGATTTACAGGAGGCAAAACACAATATTCATTTTCTTTTTCAATAATATGCCTAGAACACTGCTTCCATAGGTCTGTGGCAGCAATATGAGATACTGCATCTCTTATTGTGGCCAATAGCGATTCACTTAATTGAGGGGTCTGATTATGTTTTCTTACTTTTTTTTAAAGCAGCCCGGACCAACTCAATCGGGTTAAAAATGCAGTAATAGGGAGGTAGACGTAATACTTCATGGCCATTTTGCTGAAGCAGATTGTCAACAACATACCCTTTTTCAAATTTTTGTCTTTTAATAAGATCCAATAATATAGCTTTGGTTGATTTTTGTGGTATTTCCATTCCCTTATCCTTCATAAAATCAATAATGTCTTGTTTTTTTGTGCCTGTATTCGGAATTTTGTTTTTCTGTCGGGAATGGTATGGCGCATTGTCCATAATAATCACTGAATTTGGGGAAATGTTTGGTATTAACTGCTGCTCTTTCCACTTTTCAAGTCGGAGGTCATGTCCTCATGATAGTCGGCACATGATTCTTTGATATTTTTGGCAGATAACAGCAAGGCATTAGGTATAAATCCATATTCACTGCCAGCATGGAGAATAATGATTCGTTTTCCACGGTTGCATGGTGCATTTAAATTGCACTTGTAGCTGTCGTCAACCCAGCGGTACTGCACAACATCATGGGTATCATACCACGTTTCATCCAGGTAAATCAGATTTCTTTTCTGCTCTCTATAGATTTTAACTTTGTGCAAAAATTCTTGGCGCAATTCAACGATTCGAGACGACTCCATAATCACCATTCTTTTATCTAATTTTTTGTATTGAAAACCACACAGTTTTACAATACAGTGCAGTGAGTCTAAGCATTTGTAATTATAAAAATCTTCAGGATAATCTTTTAATTTATCCCGTATCATTTCCAACGTGGGCACCAAATTTTCTTTATAAAATCCGTATATTATACGACGAATATCTTCCTGAAAACCCACGTCTATTCTTTTTAATTTTTGCCCTATGCGCTTTCTGTGGAAGGAATGGTTGACTACATCTCCCCTTTAATTATAACCCGATAAATGGTAGACCGACTGATTTTTGTCAGGATACAAATTCTGTTTAAAATCTGCTTTTGCCAGGAATCTGGATTTTCGTTTTTCAGACAATCATACATATTTAGGATTACTCTTTGGGTCTGTTCCTCTAAATCTTTATGAAAGAATTCTGCCTGCACAGGTTCATCAACCATCTCCTCGTGGCTTGGAGCATTTTCCCAAGGTCTCCAAAGAGCCATATTTAGGACACACAAGAACAATCAACACAACAATTAAATCAACAAGTAAACTGAGTATTCAAAAGTCAAAAACACACAAACTAATAAAATCTATGAAAAAACACGTACAGACTAAAGAAAACACGTTTATTCACCGCTACACGGCACTGGCTAAACTGTTTCAATTTTCAGTAGCCACCTGCACTTGTTCAGAGCTCTGAAATACACGCTTTCTCATTGGCTATGTCCACGCATAGGCATGCTTTACTCCACGTCGCCTTTGATCTTATACGGGGGATATTTGCTGCGAAATTTGGCGATTTTTGCAGCAACAGAGCGTGTTAAATATAGATATATAAAACGCACCCGGTATTTCACAGTGTTTCAAGTGACTTCAGATAAAGTATACATTTCCTGTGTCAAACATGAATATCCATTTAAGGATCATGGGATTTATATATCAATAAGGCTGTACGAGGGATGTCTTTTAAGTTTTGCATATGGAAACAAAACAACACGGTAGGTAGTTTTAAATGACTTTACTGTTTTTCGATGTACTCTCCATGAAGATTAATACACATCTGCATACGCTCGAACCAATTTTCGAAGCACTTATTCCACTCGTTTGCTAGCAGATCCAAAACGGCATTTTTGAATGCGTCACCTGCTTCTTATGGTGACTGCAACCCTTGACCACGCAGTCTGTTTTTAATTTTCGGGAAAGTAAGGAAATCGTTAGGACTTAGATCGGGACTATATGGAGGATGGTCCAATAATTCCACGTTTTCTTCGGTTAAATACTGCCTTGTTTTTTGGGCTGTGTGCGAGCTTGCATTGTCTTGGTGGAGGATGATTCTTCTTTCGGGGTTGATTTTTTGAATCTCGGTGATGACTTTTGGCAAACAAATGGTGGTATACCAATCCGCAGTAACAGTTCTTTGCTCATTAAGAGGAATTGTTGCAATATGACCCGCTTTTGACACAAATGTCGCGACTATCTTTTTCGAAACACTTCGAGAACGGATGACTTTTGTTGGCTTTTCTTCACCTTGGAACACCCAAACAGCCGACTGTTGTTTATTTTCTGGCTCATAACAGTAAATCCACGATTCATCACCACTAAAAATGCTGTACACATTTTTTGAGTTTCCGGAATTGAAACGGTCAAGCGTTTTTTGACACCAATTAACCCTGGCTGCTTTCTCCTCTTCAGTCAACAGGTCAACGGGAAACTAATTTTCTTACCCCTAGTTCTTCATGTAAAATTTGCTGAATTGGGGTCTTTGAGATCTTCAAGAACGCCTCAACCTCGCGATATGTCACATGTCTATCTTCAATGATGAGTTTGCGCACAGCATCGATGTTTTCCTGGGTGACTGTCGTTTTTGGTGCACCCACCCTGGGATCGTCGCTAAGACTCACCCGTCCACGTTTGAATTCTCCATACCAACGGGAAATTGTCGACTGATGTGGCGCTTCGTTGCCGAAAACGGACAGTAACTCAGCAAGGCATTCTTGTTGAGATAATTGTCTCTGAAAGTTTTAATAAATTACGGCGCGAAAATGTTCTCGGTTGAGTTTCATTTTTCTAATGACTTGGTGACACTTAAATATTCACTGTAGTGAGAACACTGCACGTATTGTTGAGAAAATTTGAATTTCAGTTTACTAAAGAGTGAGGTTAAGATTCAGTACTGACGTTTGATCCGTGGGGCCTACTATGTCTCTATATGCAAAACTTAAAAGACATCCCTCGTCAAATCACTTTCCAGTCGGGATGAGCATGCTTGCTTTTCACAGGCTTCGAGTGGAACTAAAAAACGTTTTAGTGTTTTTGCCTCCCTATACTGTTGAAGAATTCTTCGATTGTGATATAAATGTTTACTTACCTAGCACTCTGTAGTTGCATGTTATTGGTTCACTAAGTAAACAAGGGTAGGGAAAGAGTAAATAATGTGGGTAGATAATTTTAGATAATCAAATTTATCGTATTTGTTTTTATTAGGAATGTATCTTAAATATTGTGCCCCATCATTCTGACAATGCTTAAACATCTAAGTGTGATTTAAGCAGATAAAGGATATCTATCTATTCAAGGTATTTTTATGTATTCCTACCTTTTGGACACTCTGTATATGAGATTCTTTTACAGGTTACCTTGTACCATTGGGACCTCCCTCAACGTCTTCAAGATCTAGGGGGCTGGACCAATCCAGACATGGCAGTCTATTTTGAAGAGTACGCCAAAATAGCTTTTGAGCTGTTTGGAGACCGCGTGAAACGCTGGATCACCATAAACGAGCCCCACAGCTTTTGTGAGTTCACTTATGGTTATGGACATGGCGCTCCTCATATATTTTCACCAGGAATAGGGGACTACCTTTGCGGAAAGACGGTTTTGATAGCTCATGCTAGGGCCTATCATTTATATCAAAGGGAATTCAAAAAATCTCAAGGAGGTATGTGGCTACTCACTCATACCTGATTTCATAAGACGAATGAGTATTTCTTTCAGTATCTGGCTTAGGAAAACGAAATGCAAGGTCTGTAAATTAAGCGAGGGGAAATTTTTTTAATCAAGTATGATTACAATTTTATGTTGTCAACCTCAAAATAACTTCGTTCTGAAGCCACACAGTGCTGGAGATGGTTCTTCTGCTTCTCATAGCAGTGCTAGAACTCCGATATTGCAATAGCCTTCAGCAATAGCTTGAATGTTGTCGATTGTCTCAAAATAAGTTCCCTTGAGGTGATTTCTCAACTTCGGGAAGAGAAAAAAGTCACATGGACTCACATCAGGCGAATAAGGAGGCTGAGAGACACAGAAATGCTTTTGCTGGCCAAAAACTTGTTTATTGGCATTGCTGTGTGACAAGGAGCATCATTGTGATACAACACCCAGTTGTTTTTGATCTAACAAACGGCGGTGAAGTCAAATTTAACTCTTCGCCGATCACTCTACCTGCCAACCGGCGATCTGAATACACAAGATCCCGGATTCTGTCGATATTTTCATCGGTTCTTGAAGATGTCTTGAACCACCGAGAAACCTGGGCTATTGACAAAACAGGCCTGTTGAAGTTTAGCAAGGGTTTCCACTGCACTGTGCCCAAGTCTGAAGCAGAACCGTAGTACACGTACACCGTTGTTCGAAATTGATGTCACTCATTTTTAGAACACCATAGAAAAAACTGTTTCACAAAAAATTGCTACGGACAACCAAATGAGTCGAGCGAGTTCAAACTTGTACTGAAGGCAGATCGCATGTTCCTCTATATCTCCTGCCCGGCCTCTCCAGATCGAGCGTTACGTTGCCAGTCTCATCACTTAATTTACAGACATCGTATACCGATTTCAATTTTTCTAAGCGCAAGATGAATCTTATACAATTCCAATTAAAAAATATATATCTTATTTTTAATTTGAAATGATGAAAACGCTATCCGGCGATGATGTCACGTCATACGAATTGCTTACAAAGAAACGTCATCTGTATGTCAGTTGTATTCTTTAATTACTCCTAAAGACTCCTAATCAACCTAAAAAGTCATCGTTCTCTCGTTTTATTGAAAATCATCATGGACTTTGGATTCGTAAAAGCAGAAAGCAGAAATTTGCCAAAAATTGTCATTGATCATTGGTAACTTTTTTGCCTTCAGCCTAGATGTATGCTCTGTTCAGCTGAGGAACATCAAGACTTCTATGGAAGTACAGTGCATCTGATTTAATGATAGACACAAAGAATAGGTAATACACTCATGTAATTTTTCTTTTCAGAAGTCTTTCAGAACTAAGCTCATTCGTACTAACCTCTGATAATTTTATCAATTATTACATCCCCTTGTCTTCGACCGGTGTTGCGTATATTTATTTCCCTGTGCACTCTATAGTATAACCTATACAAGTAACCTGTCATGATTGTCAGTAGCCACCACTGTCAGATTACTTCCATAGACTATAGATCAACTATAGACAAGAACCCCTCTAAGGGGCGTATCGTCAGCCGTTCCTACACTATTTTGAGGCTATGTTACAAATATTTATTTGCATCAAATTCTCCATGCTTTTGATTTATATCGTCTGTTTAATCAGCCTGAAATTTCCCACACTTCAAAAAGAAAGTTTAACCTCGCAATAAGGAAACGCTGGCGCTGACACGGAAGAACAGTAGACATCTAGAAATGCCCCAGCTTTTAAGGAGAGAAAGGACTAAGAAAATCAAGTAGGCCATAAAGACGTCCTACAATTTATTGTAGGAATGACTGACGATACGTTCTTAAGTGCGAATTGACACAGGTCTTCATGGCAGCGGCCATCTGTTGTGCTTGACAAATAAGTTCTGAACTAATGTGTTACAGAAAACTGAACAGAAATAACGCAAAAGATCTGTGCATAATGAAGTGCCAAAACAAACAATATGGCTGGTTCGTTTGTAAAAAGGACGGGACTTTTGAATTGATCTACATTGATCTTCGGCTAAGAGTTGACTTCTTTTAACTTTTTTATATGACTTTCCAGAAGAAAAATTTGTATATGAAAGTTATAGGGTCTAAAATGTTGTTGTAAGTTTTTCATGTTGTTGTCAGTTTGGCAAATGCTTGTTCCGGAAGTTGTGGTATCCAGTATACAACTTCTTCCCCTTCAAGTGATTTTACACGCGTTAAGGAATACCTCAGTAACGATTGCCGGGTAGCGCTACTAGTCCGCCAACGGGCCACTAGGTCTATTTAATATCACTAACATGTAAAAAGAAGGTGGTAGACAAGGACCAGACGACCGAGGCAGTACCACCCGCTAGCTTTTCCCAGGGTGTCTTATAAATGTCCGCATGTTTCCACACCTAAGCTATGCAGTCGGTCATCTTCCAAAACAAAGAAATTAATGATGATGGATCCCTCGAGCACTAAGAACTCCGGACGTAAAGTCACTCCACTCTCGGAATGTCCGGGTGGAGGGTGGGCTCGAGGGAACAACATCGACGATAAAATTTGTTTTTCGAACATCTGCGGGATTAACAGCAACATTAATGCTGTTCATCACTACCTGCAATCCAATCGTCCCGCCGTGCTTTTCTTGGCGGAGACAAAAATCTCAGAGACTGCACCGATTAACCATCTTAACTTCCCAAACTACGAGGTGTACCCCAATCTGAGAAAGAACGGGGGAGTTGTGGCTTTTGTCTGCAGCAGTCTTTCCTGCTCCAGAGATGTTTCTTTGGAATCAGACCGGAAGGACTTTCTGTGGCTTCACCTCAACTCCAAAACATCATCTAAATTTATTTGCTGCCTTTACCGCTCTCCCTCGGACCATATCTGGGATGACCTACTCGAATACCTCGCCGTCCAGACCGACTTCCTGAACATCAATCACCCCGCTTCAGAGGTAATCCTTCTCGGTGATTTCAATGCCCATAATGAGCTTTGGTTGGGCTCAAACCAGATCTATGCAGCAGGTCGTGCAGTCGAAGCGTTCGCTCTTACTCAAGGCCTGACCCAGCTGGTGACGAGCCCTACTTTTTTCCCTGCGTCTCGTCACACGCCAGAAGCCTGTTGGATATCTTTCTAACCACGCATCCTGTCCCTTACTGCACTGTTGTCCTGTCCCCCCTGGGTAACTCAGACCACGGTGTTGTGTAGGTTAGGTTTCGGTCAAAACCCGCTGTGGTAGCAGAAACTCGTACAGGCCACAAAACTTGGCATTACGGACATGCCGACTGGGAGGGGGATGCGTCGGCTGTTTGTTCTTCGATAACCGAAATTAGCCACGTCGGAATGGAGGAATTCATCCCTCACACAGTGAAAGTGCCTAGACCAGGGTCCAACGGCAAATCGTGTGACGCTGCTCGCCAGCAGAAGATCAAGGCACATAGAACCTTCATACAAAACCCCACTGTAGAGAACAGACAAGCCGACGTTAAGTCCAGAAACAGATATAAAGCTGTGGTTTGCAATGCCAAAAACCAGCATGATATAAAAGTTAGGCACAGGGTAATGTCGCAGCGCAATGGCAGTCGGTCTTTCTGGACGCTGGCCAAGCAGATTGAAAAGAACTTCTCACACAGTAGCCTTCCACCACTTACGTGTCAGGATTGAACTATTGTATTCAACTCAAAGGCCAAGGCGGAAGTGCTAGCCAAGATCTTTGCTGCCAACTCCACCATGAACGTCCCCCCAACGCCCAATTGCCGTCAATTCAAAGGGTTCCCTACACTATGCCGGAGGTAAGATTCAGGCATAAGATGGTAAGACGAGTGCTCTTGTCGCTCGACATCAACAAAGCTTCTGGTCCGGACTTGATCCCTGCCATTGTACTGAAGAAGTGTGCAGCGGAGTTTGCTCCAGTTCTTTCGCGTCTCTTCCATATATCTTATGAATTAAAACTGGAAATTTGACCTCCTTTCCTGCAAGATCAACCCAATCCACAGCTTCGCTGATGACAGCACTCTACATGCAGGAATTCAGAGTGACAAGCCGATATCTGCCGCTGAGTTGGAAAAAAGAAGACTAGCGATGACTTCCTCTCTGACAAAAGACCTGGAGGCTATCACTGCTTGGGGACGCAACAATCTTGTATAGTTCAATGCTTCCAAAACACAGTACTGTACTTTGACGAACAAAAAGCGTCCCTGCGCTCACCCGGTTTCGATGAATGGCCAAGTTCTGCCAAAGAGCCATTCATTTCGGCTGGTCGGCAGGAACACATCTCGTCAATAGCTGCAGTCGCTGGGATAAAGCTAGGCTATTTGTTTATGGCTAAGTAGTACCTTTCTCCGCATGACTTTCTCACTCTATACAAGGCCCAGATAAGGCCTAGCCTCGAGTATTGCTCACACGTTTGGGGTGCTGTCGCCCCGACTATATTATCCACGCTCGATGCTGTCCAGAGGAGGGCGGTCCGACTGATCGACGACTCTTCTCTAACAGACAGTATCGAGACTCTTTAGAACCGGCGGGCTGTCGGCGATCTAGCTCTTTTCTACCGTTATACCAACGGGCTTTGCTCCTCAGAGCTCTCTTCCATGATGCCGCCGCGCGATGAGTCTGCCAGTCCGACCCGCCTGACTTTGGCGTCCCATCCTAACCGTGTCGAACTTCGTACATCCAGAACTGGCCGCTCCTTTGTCCCGAGGATGTCGAGATTGTGGAACAATCTACAAGAGGCAGCTTTTCCCAGTTCAAAAATCGTATTAACAAAATTTCTTTGGGATCATCATAGCAGCCGCGGTGTTCCGGCATTTAGGCTTCTGCCTGCGCGGCTGCTTCGATATGAAAAAAAAACTCACGTGCAGCAAGTGAAATAAATGTGTCATTTGAGATTCGCGATATATCATGTATACACGTTGAAACTTGTACAAGAAATTAAACTATCTGTTTCTGCAATGAAATAATTTCGTGAGATTTTTATTTCACGAGACAAAAATATAATGAAAAATCTCATTGTGGATCTGTACCTATTGTGGTGAGATTTTAAATTTAAGTCATACCGTTGAAAAATGTCAAACTAAAATCCTGAAATGCCGATTGCAACATCCTAAGAACTACGCTTGTTCGGTTTTGGAAGTTCAAACAGTATATATTGTTTAAGGGAAAATTGGAATTTCATTAGACACAAACTGGGCAGAACCGATGACAAATTCGACAGAAGATATAAAGGCTGCAGAGAGACAACTAGAAATGGAGGTAAGGTAATAAACTCCTGTGAAAATCATGTGTACAAAGAATGCTAATATGAGGTCAAAAAATGCAACGGAATTTTTCTACATTGCGTTTCAAGGTACAAGTGAATAAAGTTACAAAGTTCCAGTTACATAACGGTAATAACCATAAATATCATCTGAGATACGTAGAAAAAAGGACACCTAGTAATAATGATTTTTTTGTATATACAGTCCGCAAAGTTGGGGTTTTCCTTTACACGTCGTGTAGATCTTGAAAACATAAGCAATTTTTCTTACTACCATATACACCAATGTCTTAAGGGAATCGAGATAAAGGGCTCTGCAACATCAAAAATATCTGAATACCGTCCTGTAGCAGCGACCCGCCGGGATATCCCAGACTGGTACAAGGTCTCAGCCCGACGGCAGAACTGGGTCGGGTTCAGTGTGTCAGGTTAGTATGCAACCTTCAACCGACGGTTACAGTCACGCGTGTAGAGGTAAACGAACTCGTATAATCGATTGCGTTTCAAAAAACAACAAGCACTAGAGACGTGGCTAGAGAAGTGCAAGTATCAAAAACTAAAGTGTGGAAAACGCTGCGTGAAGAGGGGCTGTATCCGTCTCACGTCCAACGTGTACAAGCCCTTCAACCTGACGATTTTCCAGCAAGAGTGCGGTTTTGTGAGTGGTTGTTGCATCAACATGACAATAATCTGGACTTTTTGAAGTGCATGTTATATTGGTGACAGACGAATCTACGTTCACGCGTAATGGGGTGAATAACTTTCGCAACACTCATGTTTGGTCATTTTCAACAAACATTTTCGGTGAATGTTTGGGCTGGCATGGTGAACGGTATGCTCATTGGACCATTTATTCTCCCAAATCGATTTGACGGGATGCAATACCTAGACTTTTCACACAACATTTTGCCTTCCTTATTAGAAGATGTGCCATTAAGTGTAAGACAATCAATGTGGTTTCTGGGTCTGCTCGGTAGCGCTTCAGCTGATTTCATTTTCTGTTGGAGCGGTATGATTTCGGGCAGAGACGTACTTAGCCCTTCTCGTCAACTGGAGAGTGAGTACTTTTTCTTTTATTTTTTTTTACTTGGTCGCCCTCGTTTTACTACACATTACCTTTGTTATTTCAAGGGTAGTTGTTTCTGAAAAGGAAAACCCCAACTTTGTGGACACCCTGTATGTCTCTCAGGCTCGATTATACTATTGACCAGCGGGAGTCAAAATTTGGGCCTTTGGCACCAATTGGACCAATAAGAAGGAGTCTTTTAACTAACGGATCTACTGAATTTGGTCAATTTTTTGTAAATTATCTCTCAAACTAGAGAAAATGACAAAAATTATACGATTTGTGTAAGATCAGCTTGTAACAGGTTGGCCGTTTTCGCTATCAATTAGTGAAACGTAATTAGCTAACTAGTCAAATACATTAATTAATTAGCTAAGTCGGTCACACTGAAATGCGCTAATCACGACCGGAATACGAGCGTACATCCAGACTATAACTTAATGTTCATGTTATTGAGAGTGTAGTGCGGTTGGAGCTGAGTAACGGACACCGTTAATAAGACGAATATTAATTTATCAGGTGATTTGAGAGAAAGATATAAGGTAACTTAACCTATTTACCACCTTGCGCTTCTTAATATCGGCGCGCCCTAAGGTTATTTACTTAGTTGATTTTACACTTAGTTATATATTTGATATCTGAAAAACTGATAAGAAGAATCTTCAAAAGTTATGACCCTATCACTTTAGCTCTGTTCTAGACACTTCATTCTCGAGACTGGAGATGCTAAAGTACAAGTTGAACACTCGCTTAGGGTTAAGTGTGGTTGAACTACATGGCTACAAAATAGAACAACTGATTAACCGTTTATTAACTCTCAAGATAAAAATATTATTTCAGAAAGAAAAGACTGGGTTGTTTAGTTGAGTTGCTCTGTCAGCCAAATGAGTAACAATCAATGATGAAGTTGAAACGATTTCGTTACGATTAATTAAAACTTCAAACTTCACTTCAAAGAATTAGCTCATCGAATATGTAAGAGGAACTAGAGATAGGTATAAATTAGATAAGTTTTATAAGATCGAGAGATTAAGATCGTTTAAAGTCATAATAAAGTCATAATTATGTTGTCAAGAATCTAAATAGCCACTGAAGGAATAATAATTAGTGCAATCATGACCAGCAGAAAACTGAGAACTTAAGCGCTAAAGCAAAGAAAACGTAGGATATCTTTTCCCTCGAACCGCAAGCACAAAACTGAGTACCTGCTCTTCCCGAACGATTCTCTTGGACCAAGAGGTCAGAGAGATGGGCATTCATTCAGAGGTATATTATTTAAAAGGGGCAATTATTTTAGAACATGTACAATGAGATCAACAAATGATTTCTCCATATTATTTGGTGAGCTTTTCTATCAAACACCTGAAAATACGACAGGTGGGAGAGTTGCAAGGTCGTTAACGTTAAAGTGGAAGCAAGCCGATATCAAGGGAAAGCTCAACCAAAAGAACCTCTTTCGGCTGTAATTTACTTGATGTTTTGAATATCTATTACAGTTGTATATTCCATTTTATTACATCTCTAATCGGACAAACGTTTAACGTCTACGAGCACCTTTTTTTTGTATGTTTATGAGTCACTATGCGGCGCTTCCCTTATTCTCAGGGTAAAGTTTTTGTTGGAAGGTTGTAAACCTTATGAGTTACGATGGTTCGGTCCTCTTCCAGATATTTTTACATCTTTTTCATTATGTAAGCTACCCAAACACTTTCTAATAAAATACATATACAGATGTATCTCCATGTTACAGGCTCCTAATTCTCACGCTGGCTGTATAAAATTCTGGTTAATAAATTCTTTGAAGACATAAAGAAAATTACAGAATATTTATGCTTTAACAAGGATTGCGTAAATAAACAATTTTCTTGACTATTCTGCGAAAAACCCTGTTACTGTTAACAGGGACATGTCGCGCACTCTACTGGGTGGTATAACAACTGCGCTACCCCGCTGCGCCGTGGTGATGGTGGAAGTAGTCATCTTACTAACCAGTAGAGAGCGCGAGAGCTCCCTGTTAACAGGGCTGGCACAAGGAACAGTGTTTTTTGTACGGTGGTCAAGTAAACTGAATATTTAATAATAATAATAATAATTAACGTCTTTTATTTGTAATATTCTTACAGGAGGCGAGATTTAGATTATATATCTATTCTACCATCTAACCCCCTTAACAATACGAGATGTAAAAAAAAAGAATTTGTTGAAAATTAATAGGCACCTGTATACAATAACGAATAATCCAAGTAAATACGAGTACATAAGGAAAATATGAGGACACTTATGGGTTACAACCGATTTCGCTGCTGATCAAGAAGAACTTCTTTCACTTTTTTCTTGAATTTGGATAATGGATTGGTTTCTTTTAAACTGCGGTCTAAAGAATTATATGATTTGATCGCATTGTAAATGTATGAATTCTGAAATAGAGACGTGCTGTGGCGTGGAATTGAAAAAGTCTCTCTATATCTAATATTAATACGATGCATATTCCCTCTACGTATGAATTTGTTTACTAAATATGACGGTGTTTTTGAATAAAGAACCTTATGAGTCAGATTTAGGAGCTGGTACTTATACATTTTATTAATTTTCATCCATTTGAGTTCATTAATGGCATTCGATATACGATCATATTTTTTGAGATCATTTACAAGCCTGCAACATGTATTCATAATACTTTGAATACGATTTCTTGTTATAATATCGAAATAGGGATAGTAAACCACTAAGCAATACGATATCTTTGAAAATACGAAATATTCACATAATTGCTTTCTCGCAGATTTATGTAATATAGCCTTATTGCAACAAATTGCAACAAATTTTATGTCATCATCCATTATAATACCTAGGTTTTTCGAATGATCCACAGGAATTAATTTATTACCTTTTAAATGTATGTCTATTTAGTTCATGTTTGTTAAAGAATAAGAACTCTGTGCTTTTATTTATGTCCTCAAAGTACTTATCAGACAGAATTTTGTACAGCAACAGGGAGATTCTGCTTTTTTCAATAAAACGCTCATTTAATAGCTGTCATATCAATTTAGATATTCTATGAGAATTGTGTCTGCTGGGGTTTCTTAGTGACTCACGGATTCTCTCTTCGGATATAGTGCACTGTGTTCTTGATTTTTACATTTGTATATTTTAAAAATTGTTGACTGTAAAGGGACAATTCGACGCGTCGCTATTCTTGTTGTTTAAGTAACAACTGACAACTTGCTTGTAACCTCCACATTGGTGTTCAAACTGGATCCTGCGCTTTGATTGGCCAGTTCAAATAGTCTTTGATAACTGATATAAGTGGGAAAATGTACAACAGTATCCATGTTTCGAGTACGGTGCATTGGTGCATCCAATGACCATAACTGCTAATTTAGGGTCCGGTTAGGCTTTTGTAGGTGAGCCAAGAGATTTAAGCATCCCACAAACCGGCGCGAAATAATCGCGGCGAAGTATTCGCAACGAAATTCAGAGCGAAATTCGCAATCTGTTTCGCCTGTTTATTCATACCAAAGCGTCTTATTTGCTTCGCGAACGTGAAGGTTTCGACAGGTTGCGTACATTTTATTTTTGCCTTTCGCAATGAGCTCGTCTTCAGAAGAAGAGGAGGCACTTCTATTTCTTGCTTTAGAAGAGAAACAAAATGCACGGTAAGTTATGTTTATTTAACGCCATTTGATAGTTGGGTATGTATTAAGTTTAACGAAGTACATAAAACAAATATTTTCAATTTTGTTTAGGAAACGAAGGAAGTGGGTACATGATATTAACTTGGAACGAAATAAATTTGGGGAATACCATACCTTGATGCCACAACTTCGGCTGGATGAACAGCGCCTTTACGTATATTTTAGAATGACTCCAGAGTGTTTCGATGAAATATTGAACTTGGTGAAAGATGAAATACGAAAATCTGACACAAAT